AGGATGCTGACGTCCAGGTAGCGGATGTCGCAGCAGATCCACTGTGGTGGGGGGGGGGGGGGTCAGAGAGAAACCAAAACTACCCACCCCTGTCCCCAACGAGAATGGCCTTTAGCCACTGATGGGGCAGCAGGAAGCCTCCGCCCCCCCACTGGGACCCCCAGAACTCCCTCATCCCACAGCTCACCAGCCACTATGCCCCTCTCTAGAGACCTGACAGCCCCACCCCCATATTGCTGCCCAGAACCCCCCCATCGCCCCTACCCCAAACCCTTCCCCAGAGACCTGACAGCCCCACCCCCATAACGCTGCCCATCACCCCCACCCCAAACCCTTCCCCAGAGACCTGCCAGCCCCACCCACGTAACACTGCTGCCAGCCCTGTGTCCCATACCACTTCCTGCCTAACCCCCCCCCCCCCCGGTACCCGTGGGGGGAAGAGGCGGTCGATGCTGGGGTCCCCACCCACCGCCTGGGGCAGTGCCAGCTCCTGGCCAGCGTTGTGGTCACGCCCCCCGGGGGCGTCCAGGTCAGCACAGGCATCAATCTCGTAGTGGACGTATTTGCAGGTGTCCATGTGGAAGCAGGTGTTGAGGAAGGAGCAGTCGCCCAAAGACTCGTCTGTGTGCTTGTTAATGATGCGCCTGGGGGGGACAGCGGTAAACGACAGACATGGAACCCAGGTGTCTGACTTGCCGTTCCCCCCACTAGACCACTCCCCTCCCAGAGCCGGGAAGAGAACCCAGGAGTCCTGGCTCCCAGCCCACCCTGCTCTAACCCACCATACCCCACTCCCCTCCCAGAGCTGGTGAGAGAACCCAGGTGTCCTGATTCCCAGTCCCGGGGCAGACTCTCACCTGAAGTGCAGTTTGCGGCAAGGCCGCTCAGCGTCTGTGGCTTTCATACACTCCTCCTTGGTGCCATAGTCGCAGAACTCCTGTACCTGGGCACGGCCCCGCGAGCGAAACTTCTCCACGATTGACTGCTCCTTGGCCGTGGTTGTGTTCAGTAGCTCCAGGATCTCCTGGCTCACCTGGGGTGTGGGGAGAGCTGTGAGAAGGACCCAGGAATCTGGGGTTCCCTTCTGCCCATTCCCCTTCCACAATCCAGGAGTCCTGACTCCCAGCCTCCCCGCACCCGCTCCTCCCTGTGGGAATAACTGGGGTCTAGCAGACCTTCCTCAAGGGATGGAAAGTGGGTAAGGGTTCATATATAATCACAATAGCCTGTACCAATGAATGTTACTAAATGTTAAAGAGGTGTGAAAAGAAGACAGATTGTATTGGTCCAAAGAAAAAGGTCTCAGGATCCCACCCAAGGCCAGGGTTGAGATCATGTCTGCTCCAACCTACTAGACCCACTCCCCTCCCAGAGCCAGGGACAGAACCCAGGAGTCCTGGCTCCCAGCCCCTGATCCTAACCCACTAGACTCCCCTCCCCTCCCAGAACCACAGCTGGGGCCTGTGTTGAGGCTAGGATCCAGGTGTCCAGCTAGTACCTTCTTGCTCTGCTGCTCCTTGGTGGACTGCTGGCTCAGCAAGCTCTCGATCTCCAGGTCCAGGTCCGACGCCTGCTTCCGAGACTTCTTGGCCGGCTCCTTGGCCAGCTCCAAGGTGGTCAAGGCAGAGGGAGTGGCACCGGCTGGGGAAGGAACAGCACCCCCAGCATCCTGCTCTGCCCAGCGCTTCTGGCCCCCAGCGCTGCCTGGCTCAGCGAGGCCCTTCCGCTCAGCCACGGCGCCCATCATCGCAGAGAGCTTGGAGTGGTCAGCATAGGTGACCAGGGTGGGCTGCTCCTCGTCATCCTGTAGCAGCCCCCGGCGCACCTCGATCAGCTCCTGAGCCGCGAACTTCTGCAGTAGGCTCTCCACGCTGCGCTGGGTGACGGGGGCCTCCGGCTGTGGGACAGACAGGATCACAGGGTGGGGCAAGTGTGAAGAGAGATGGGGTCACCCCAGTGCCTGGCAGGGGGAGAGATGGTCAAACTGGAGGGAGGTTGGGGGACGTGTCAGAGGATCAGCCAACCCAGGGAACGAAGGAACTGCAAATAGTAGACAGAGCAGGCGTTGCTGGGGGAAGGCGGGTGTGTTTTCACATGGACAGGCGGTGGAGGGGAATGGGGCTGGGCACCAGCAGCAAGGGGGAGGGACCGGGCTCTCACCGTGGAGATGGCCAGGCAGATGGAGAGGGCATCGGTGGGCAGTGCAAGCCCCAGGTCCGAGAGGTGATGCAGCAGCTTCTTCTCCAGCTCAGGGTCAGTGGCCAGCTCTCTAGCTGCGCTGCTGGGTGTGGGGACTGTGGGCACTGGGCTGTCGCTGCGGAAAGGTGACGCCAGCTCTGGGTTCCTGAGGTCTGGGGAGAGAGATGGGATGAGGCTGGTGACGTCTGAGTACTGAGAGGTGACACCCCTTCCCAACCTCCCCAGCACCCGCCCACTACACCAACCCCTCCCCATCCCAACTTCTCCCCCCAGCTCCAGCCAATCAGTCCTGTCCCCTTTCCCACTGCCTCTCACCCCTGTGCCAGTGGGTCCAGCTGGGGGTCTCTGCTGCAGCTGCTGTCGACCCCCTAGTGCCCCGACCCCATAGCTTCTCCTGCCACCCTGGCCCCCAATGCCTCCTGATTCCTGACCCCCTGTATCCCCAGCACCTTGATGCCCTAGTGCCCTTTGGGGAGCACCTGAGCCCTGTGCCCAAAATGCCCTTTAACTTCTGACCCCAACACAAGGGTCCTGCTTCTGTCACTGCTGCAGCCACCCTCTGGCCCTGCCTCATGGTTGCTAATCCCCCCCCCCCCGTGCCCCCCAGTACTCCTGCGTCTGCCCATCTGATCCAGCCATGGCCTTGCTGACCTTTGACCCCCACAGTGCCCCTGGATCTCACAACCAAGGGATGTAGCCTGCACCCTCCCACTACCTAAGCCCCCACTACCCCGGCCAAACCCCAATCCCCACCAACCCCTATGTCCATTGTGCCCTTTCACCTCCCCTAGTTACCCCAACCCCTTGGTATCCTCTAGGCCCCAGTCCCCCACTCATGCCACTTGCCCTTTGACCCTGCGACACCCCCTGACCCCTACTCCCCCGGGGAATCCTGCTGGTGTCACCACTGCCCCCTCGTGCCCTTTGCCGCCTGACCCTCTTCCCTTTGACCCTTTGTTTGCCCCCTGACCTCCTTGCATCACCAATGCCCTATGATTGGTCCCTGACCCCGTGCCCCTCCGACCCCTGAACTCCATGGTCTCTCTCTGCCCTTTGACCCCCGCGCCCTTTGACCCCCACTGCCCCCAACCCCTCACCCAGCGGATCCTGTTTCCGCCGCCGTTGGAGCCGCTCCCGCAGCGAGTCCAGCTGCTTCTTGTGGGCCTGGATCGAGCTCCACGTGTCCGACATGGTTCGGCCCGGCCCGGGACGCGGTCTCCTGCCCGCCGCCCTTCCCCGCTTAGGCAGCCCCGGGCACCGGGACGGACCGATGCTGCTCACCCGGGCCGCGCGAACACGAGTAACCGGAAGTGCCTCGGGGGGGATGGAGATAAGGAGCGAACATTTCCTGTTTCTACCCACACCGCGAAGCCGCCGCCGCCATCATGTATACTGGCAAGCGACGACCATTTTGGTTATGGATGTGTGTACAGAGCGGCCATCTTGGTTAGGGGTAATTTTTAAAGCCGCCATCTTGGTTATCTTTGGGTTAAAAAAACCAGCCATCTTATTTACTGGCAAACGACGGCCATATTGGTTTTAAAGCCTCCACGGCGGCCATTTTTGACTGGGGCATAGTAGGCGTCCATCTTGATTAGTGACGAATGCTGATGTCTTGGCGGCCATCTTGTTTACTGGCACAGAGGCGCCTAGTCGCCATCTTTGTTACTGGCATAAAAGGTTTTTGGCCCTTGTTGGTCATTGGTGTCGGCTGTACTTCGACTCCACACCAGCCTCGTTGATGGTTGGCAGAGTCTGACTCACCCCCCTCACAGGGCAGTGGTTGCAGCCATGTTGGTGTCTGGCCCCCATCCGAGGTGGCAGCCTCCCTGTTGGTCTCTTGCATCAAGGTGGTGAGTAGAGGATGTGGCAATCTCACTGTGAAGTTTGGGCGGCCATGTTGGTTACTGGCACCAGAGCATTCCTTGCCCAAGCCACAAGCCCTGTTGTCAATGCAGTGGACCGTGGAGGCAGCCATCTTGGTCATTGGCACCTGGGCGCAAAGCCGGGCCCGCTGGTGACTGGGAGCAGCTGCTTTTCGCAGACACCAGGGAGGCCGTTCTGGCACGAAGGAGCCTGGTAGTGAGCGCCTGGCACTGATCCGATCCTGGGCAGGGATGGGGGCCTAACCCTGCTCCCTTTTCTGCTGCAGCTTCTCCTTTCCCTGGCGTGCTTTAGGCTGGTTGGAGGATAACATTTGCCATTCCTCCAGCCCCTTTGTGTCCCCAAGCACATCACCCCCTTCCCCCCCCAACATGCAGCCACATCTGGAGAGCAGCAGGAGAGTTTGGGGCAGCAGAAAACACACCCCTGGGTGTTTGCCCCATGTAGAGCAAAGGGGAGCCCTAGATTGCCAGGCAG